GCATGCACACGACCACGCGCACGAGCCATCGACGGGCGGAAAATCGTCTGTGGCTGCTGTACAGGTGCAACTTGAGCAAGTAGAGATCTCAGCAGCACCGCCGCCGCCCCAACAACCTGCCGTTGACATACCACCTTCTACAAAACCGGCAGAAAGTAGTTTCAAGAAGGCGAAGGTCAAGAAGAAGGTCGCGTTCACGTCGGAGCGACCGGATCTGTATGATTTCTAGGTTGTGGTCCATTTTGATTGTCGCATAAGCATCACCTGGATGTAGCCCTACAAAGCGTAATTCGTGTATCTACAATGTATGAAAACGTCTATTCTGACCGATGTCCGCATGGTGAAGTACCTTTACCAGCGCTGCAGTAGATGATCCATCAACATGCTACCGAAACATGAGCATGTGGGCAGTACTCACGGAAGCCGTTGAGCGAATATTGGTTTATGGTCCTGATTGACCACAGCTACGGCTACGATGTTCTTGTTGGATGTATTTTACAGATTGAGAGCAGATTGTGCGAGCGGGACAGAGAGCGCGACAGCAGCAGCGAAGAGCATAGAGGGGGAGGTTATTCATGAGAGTTATCCTAATTCCTCGGCGTTAGAGCATCACGTCGTCGTATTGAATGTCGTAGTAGGTCATGGCTGGCGTTCAAAGTGGAGTGTGGACCAGCCGGTGAGAAGCCGCACTGAAGATCACCATATCCAGGTCAACAAGCCAAGACACATGTCGGGAATGAGGCACCCACTATGGCTATGATAATCGAGAAGTTCCGGCGTATATCATCCGGAGCGCAGGGGGCGTGACGTCCATGTCGCGCTGTGCGTTCATCCTCCTGCACTCCATGAGGAGCTCCCTGAGCGACGAGAGCTGGTTCCCTCCCCCTGATCCGCCGGCTCCTGCACCTCCCTCCTCCACGACGCTACCTTCATCGTCTTCATCCTCCTCGTCTTCTGGGTCCATTGGGAGGGTGCCCAATGTCGCACCCGTGCAGTCCTCGAGTCGGATGCCTTCCTTTTGACACTGCCTCCACCATCTCTCCCAGCGCTCGTAGCACGGCGGACTGGGACCGTCGTTGGCCTCGAGGTCTGACAAAAGGGTAGTGTTCAACACCCGGATACGCTCCAGACGAGGAAAATTGCGCCTGTTTAGGGCCGTAAAATTGACATCGTTCCGCCGGCGAATCATCTGCGTGGCGAAGGGGTCAACTTTGTCGTATGTTGCAGCATAGCCAACGCCGAAGGCGTAGAGGAGATGATGAAGACCGATGGTAGTGATGTTATGGTGCGGCCGCGGAAAAGTGTTGAGCGAAGGGTGTTCCCAAGCTGGGATACGCCAGTCGGGATTGAAGGTGAACGTGGTCAACAGCGGGCATAGATCGAGTATCGTCGGAACATCGAGCGTGGGGATGATATTTAGGTCGAGCAAGGTGAGCTCTGAACCGTGCATTCTGAGGAACTCGAGCAGATCGGGGAAGTCGTCTCGATGATTGACGAAGTCGAGACAGAGCGCTCTTAGTGAGGGCATGCTCCAGCCGATAGCCTCCTCGAGGAAATCCTGGAACGGGCCTCTTAGCGATAGATGTCGGAGAGCGGGCAGGGTGAGCTCCAGGTCCGAGGCGGCACCCAGATTGATCTGCTCAGGAGGCGTCCCGTCGAATTCGATGTGCGCAGTGACCAGCGCCGGGAGAGACTGAAGCATGAAGATGAGCTTCGGCAGGGACGTCGTAGGGATATTGATGTGCAGGACACGCAGGGTCTGTGGGCAGTACGTGCACAGTGCGTCACCGATGGCCTTGAGGGTGTTGGACAGAGGCCAGTTGACGACGAATATCTCGAGATTGGGACAGTGCCGGATGATGGACACCAAAGAGTTCTGCGTGGTCTCCATGGTCGTCCCGCCTCCGGCGAAGTAGCGCGTTACATGAAGCCGCCTCGTCCACCAGCCCAACTGGGTGTCGCGATCCATGAGCGCACACACACGTTGAATATTGCGCGGGTTGCTGAAGAAGAGGAATCTGTAGAAGAACTCGTAGCCCAGTCTCCGCCAAGTCCTGCAAGTGGACATGATCGCCTGGGTTGCCTCATTCATTTGGGAGCCAACAGGTATGTCGTAACAAGCTGACTGACCTTCTTCGTCGAGTAGCTACGTCTCTGTGCATTGTTTACGCTCTCCTGTGCAGTTCGCAGAGACCAGTCTCCATACAACGTCTTGAACCAGGATGCTTCGGAGAAGGCAGTTGGCAGTGTGAGATCGAATAAGTCAGCATCGTCGACGGCGAGGTCGAATATCTCAAGCCATAGCTCGTCAGGGAGATTGGAGCTCATGGCTAAGCCTGAGTACAACGTAGAGGGTGTCGGGTCGAGGATGAAAGCGAGAGAGGTTGCTTGCTACAGTCACATAAGTGCTGTACATGCGAGGCAAGTTCACGAGGAGGATGGAATCTTGGACAAGGAACGCAAGCGCCCAAGCTAGACAAACCGCCGAGGCTGCCGCTGCCGCTGCCAGTGGCTGCGAGCGCCCACCTCAGGAATGTACCCTACTACTCCCTCGACATACATCAAACGTTCGTCTTCATTGTAAAGTATACAGCACTTCTCATGACTGCAAAGAGAATCGACCACAATCCTCGGGCTACCGATGGACTGCCCACCCCTGCACGTGACGATGCCTGATAACCGTTCTCCTCGATGAACTGGCACTGCTCAGGCTAGTGGTCCTTCGCCTTCCCTTCCGGTATCCGCGTCTTGAACAATCCACGCTCCCGGACTCTGTTGACGATTTCCAAAGCTTGCGTCCGTGCTTGGTCCAGTTCCTCTTCGGTGCCTGGGACCCGCTTCCTTCCTGCGCCGTTGTCAGCAAGGTCGCCTATCACGCATGTCCAGCACGCTCACTCACCGACAATAGCCCAGTTCCTCGTACTTGGAATGCGCAGAGTTTCACATTCAACCTGCCAACCACAGTGCAGACTTAATGATGCCAGCCAGATGCGGTACCTCGAGTACGAACTGGCGTTGCTGCCGTCTCCGCCAAGGTTCAGGCTGTCGACAAAGCTGTCGTCGGGGATCAGGTATTCCGGTGCCCTCGAACGTTCGTACTTCTCATCGAACGCCCAGGCGCAGCAAGGTATCGAGAGATAGCCAGACGCCGAGAAGAGGGTTGCAAGCACTGGCGTCCACGGCGTCAGCTCGTCCGCATGGTTCGCTATGATGAAGACCCCTTCGCGCAGGTAGGGATGTGCTTCGATTGAACCATCGAGTCTGACAAGGTCCGTAGGGTTCAGCGACTCCGTGTGAAGCCGTTGTCGAGTGTCGTCCGGGTAATGGGACCAGGAGGTACGCGCCCTGACGTCGATACCGTGGCCATCGTAGCCTTCCGCGATGAGGATATGCGTTAATAGCCCATTGCCACATCTAATTCCATGCATCAGCGACGTCCGATAGGTAATGAAAATTGTGCGCATTCGAACCCAAGATCTAAGAAGCCACCCGGAGGGCGAGGCCAGTCCTTCCAAGGGGCAGCGTTAAGTTCCTGGGACGACTCGTCGCAGGGCGTCCCTTCAACCTCAGGACGGTAACTTTCCTTCCACAGTAGCATGAGAAATGTAGCGATGCCGATATCCTAGATGGCGAATGATGTCACTGTGAGCGCCTTATGCATGAACCAAGAGCTAGACCCACTTCGAAGACGTGTTTGAGCGGGTCTGTGACTTCCTGCCATTCATTTACGAGATGCTTATGTCGCTCCCGCATTACCAGGTAGAGATCTTGGTACGTTTCTCGTGGTATGACGCAGTCGTGATGGACGCGCTTCTTGTAGTTCGTCACCGCACCCCATCCATACCTATGCAAGGTATCGAGGAGAGCGAGGCATGTGCGGTACAGCCTCGAGTTCAAGTCTGTTGGGGTAGAGGGTAGTGGTACCACCTCTATTCGTAAAAGGGGAACCTCCGCCGGGATGTAACGAAATGCGAGATGCCGGACGGCTGGATGATAGTATGGGAGGACCGCGTCTGGCCCCACGATAGGTGTTAAGACAAGCAGGACTGGTCGATCAGCGTCTCCAGGTTCTGTGGCATAGAGCGTGCAGTGCTGATCCAACCCTGCGTCCCTCCCAGGTCGACGAGGCAGCAGTCGACGGTGAGTATTCTGGACTGGGCGAAATCCTTTCACGGCGGGAGCCTCCGCTGGAATCTCCGTCGTAGATTCCGACACCGTCTCGGAGCGCAGGATGAGCGTCGAGTTGTACTCCGGGTGGTGGATCAACTGCGATATTGCGTTTGAAAACTGAAGATATGTATGATCAATTTCGGTATGAGGCATCCCGAAATGCTATACGCACGACCTCTGGTGGAAAATCAGCAGGACACTGAATCATGGGTGTCCATTGTTGGACTGGTCCCGCATCGCATTGCGATATGAGACTGTTGCCGACCTCCCTTGGCCCGCACGGCGAAGGCGCGAAACGAGGTCGCTGCACAGTCGGACCTGACATTTGGTACTGCTAGGCTGGCCTACATGCAAGGAGCATCAGCACATCTATCATTTGCCAGCTCCTCAGTCATGACCTGGAAGTTATGTATATTCACCTACATGTAGTAGATTGACGGTTGAACTGCCAGAATAAGGCGCTCAACTTGAGAACCGCTAGCCGCGATGTGTTTAAAATTGTTGGTACACAACAACAACGTTACCTGGGGAGTACTTGTGTAGATACTATTTATACGAAGTAAAAAGAGCAATAAATATTGAGACCCGTAGGTCTACCACTCCGGGAAAGCGTGTCATCCTTGTGCAGGGGCCATGCTAATCTTCTCTGTATCGTTCCAATTTTTTCGTATGTCACCCCGAAGGGGACATGAAGTTGAAGGTATCGTCAGTCAGGCAGACGAGATCAACGCTTTTTGCTGCGCTCGCGGGTGGCGTAAATGTTTACGCAAGCCTGAATTAACGACGTTCCAAACAAAATCCAGTATGCCTCAAACGTCGTGCTTTCCGTCGCCGGGATAGCTCAGCTGGGAGAGCAACAGACTGAAGCCTGTGAGGCGGTGAGAGCCGATTTGTGGCGTATTCTGGAGGTCGCGTGTTCAATCCACGCTCCTGGCATTTTAGTTTCCTTACGTACTACGAGTAGTACTATAGTACTTACTTTCACTCCTGTAATAGTATATGCTTTTAACAGTACTATATTATATTACTCTTACTATTTACACTATCACCAGTAAGTTAATACGGAACTTACTTTACTAGTACTATAGCACTCTGACTCTTATTGCGCCGAGTCATACGGCCATTCCGATGTAAGTAGACTCATTTCATTATTCCTAAGCGGGATCGTCCATTGCCAGCAAGTCATGGAGATACTCAAGAACATACAATTACATGTAAATTTCCAGCAAGTTCACTGCAAGCGCGATATCAAGACAAGTCCCTCGCACTTCTTACCTGCGAAATCATGAGCCTGATCTCGCCCTTCTACGCTTTCAAGTCTTTAGAACTCCTGGTACGGTGGGAGCTCCCCATCGTCCGGCGGTGGTTGGTCTTTCGCGTCAGGATCCTGGCGTAGATTGGAAGAGCCTCCTGCAGCCAGGAGGCGCTCCCTCTCCTCCCGCTCAAGGCGCCTCTTCTCTTCTTCTGCGCTCTCATACTTGGTTTCTGTGGCGGTGGTGGACGGGGAAGACACGCCAGCAACGTAGACAGGAAGAGTGACAGTCGCACCGGGCACGGAGTTCGTTGAGACTGGAGTTGGCTGCTTAAGGTCGCGGAGAGAGCCGCTCGCTGGCCCAGGTCCATCGGGTCCAGCAGACTGGGGCATGCCCGTCTCTGCCACTGTCGGGGTGACTGTGGGGACCTTCAGACTTGGTTCCATAGGGTCGGGTGCAGCCACTGCGGTGGGCGAACCAGCCTTGATCGGGATTGGTGCCGGTGCTTGGTTCAGGGCAGCAGGATTCAACGGCGGAGAAGCGGTATGCGCAGGAGGCGATGTCGCCTTCGGGACATTCACCGGAGAAGGGAAAGTGGGAGAGGAAGTAGGGGGCGGGGCAATGTTGGCGGTGTGCGAAGGGGCCTGCGGCGGGGTGTCGTGGCTGATCGCAGGAGGCGTTACAGGAATGCTCGGCTTTCCACGATGATCAGCGGTGTTGATACTGGCAAGCTCCGTGGCGTGTGTCACTCCAAAACTACGCGTGTCGGACCTCCCAAGGTCGGCCGCAGACGGCTGCTGGAGGTAGAGGGTGGAGTCTCCAACCCGGTAATTATCAAGTGCTTGCTGCAGCGTCTTTCGGACGGAAGCGGTGAGTTGTGCGCCATTGTATGGCTGCGCCGCAGAAGGCGGAATAGGCGGCAGTGCTGGCTCGATGGCAGCTGCAGCCTGAGCGACCAGGGCCAGCTTCTCTCCGTACTGAATTGCGCGTCAACAATGTTTCACACCGGGCGAGCAAGCACGCCTACCTCCCGGATAGCCTGCCACTTCAAGCGTTCGCTCTCCTTGAGAGCCTTGCGCTTGAGCAGTTCAACTTCCTTCTCCACAGGTTCATCATCTTCTTCAGCCTTGCGCAGCTGACGTTTCAGTTCCGCCAGCTTCTGTTCCATACCACGATGTTGATCATGCTCGATGCGTCCGATTTGGTTCTGTAGACTCGCGCGAATGTTGCGGCGGCCGCTCAGATTGTTCTCGGCATCGCGCAAGGCCTTGAGCGGGGCGCGGGAGGCATCAATTTGGTCAGCGAGCGTCGCGGCGAGCTCGCCCTGAATGTAGTTCATCCACGCCAACCGGTCGGAGACTGAGGGAGGCATGTGAGACGCACTGAAAAATGATCGTGGTGTCCTGCTACTAACCATCCTTGATGTCCTCGTCTTCGTTCTGTCCCCACATATAGAGTTCCTTGCTAAACGAGCGTGCATCATGCCCGACACCGTCGAACGAGAGTGCCACTCCTTTCTCTGCCGTAATGATCTTCTGCACGGGAGTCACGGAGCTTCTGAGGCAGCGTTAGAGACAGAGACACTGCTACTCGACGGTACAATGTACAGACTCACGAGTACTGCTGTTGGAAAGTGCGCAGCTGGTGCTGGATGCTCTCAAACGCGTGCGACTTCAGGATGCCGCCCGATCCAGATGATTGGCCGGATCCGCCATCAGAGCTCTGGCCAGAACGACCAAGAGGCGTCGAGTTGAGTGCAGACTGTGCCTTGTCGGCGAGCGATGAGAATAAACCCTGCATGGCAAAGGAGGAGAGCCAGGAGATGGAGAAAGGATAACCTCGCACGGTGCTATGTTGAGTCTTATGTACATCGCTGCAGTGGCACTGTAACTATGGCCCTACGTCATAGCCTTGGCCTTCCGCAGCGCTTGCACATTAATGCAATCCACACCAGCAGCACAGCATCAGTACCTCGCCTATACATAGCTACGATCGCAAACGAGCATGTTAATGGAGTAAAGTAGGATATAGGATGTGAACAGGGTGACGGATAATACAACCACTGATTCAGCAAAGCACACAGCAGCTAAACATCGCTCTCAACAGTAGGGAGGACACTAATCGTAGCCCCAGGCTTTACACGATAATCTTCTTCGTCTGCTGCTTCCCCTTCTTCTCCGAGTCCTTGTGCGACAAAAACTCGACCTCAGTCGCCAATGCCCCGGCCAGCCTCTGGTTCTCAGGGTATCCCAAGACCTGCGTCTTGAAATGCCGGCCAATCGCCTCGATACGCTCGCGGAGCTTGTCATCCTCTGGGCTAGTCGACGGGGCAGAGCGCGTCCAGATGGATATGCGGTAGAATTGGGGCCGCGTCGAGACGATCACACCAGTAATCAGGGACTGAGGCGCCTCCCCACCCTCGCTGGTCAGAAGGGGGTCAAATGTCTCGCCAATGGCGGCAAGCATCTGTTGATTCTGTCAGTGTTGTAATGCGCATTCGCTCTGTCGACTTACGGTGTACAGCCAGAACTTGTCAACAACGGCACGATTCTTGTCCCGCGGGAGCTGAATGCTCCACTTGCCACCGCTTTTGTTGGCCTCGTCCTCCCAAGCGGGAATGATCCCCTCCTGCATAAGCGTGACGTGATCAGGATCCTGATCTTAGGTGACACGGATCATACAGTACATAGAACGTACCTTGAACAAGTAATAGTTTGCTTTTTGTGGCAGTTGCGACGGAGGAACAATGTTATTATACAAACTGAACGAGAATAGTCAGCATTTGTCAGAGCAGCTAATTATCGATACCATACGTACCCCCAGAACTCTTCCACACTGTCAAACGTGATCACACGCTTGATATCCTCCATCCAACCTTGTGCCGCGACACCACCCGGCGTTTGAGGAAGGGGTGTTTGTGGGAAAGAGGACATTGGGGTCTGAGGGAGGTTGCGACCCTTCGTTGCCGGCGAGTCGAACCAGAGGGTCCATGCGGAGTACAGAGGATGCTGGAGGAACAAAGTATGAGTGATCGGTATTGTATGCTTCCCACAGCGCGCTTGCGCAGCCGTAGGACACATACCTTGACATTGAAATTCTTGGGATCACTGAAGACCGTCTTGATGGTCTCCGCCTGAGCCTGCATATCTGCCTCCGTGATCTCACCAGGCTCGAGGTTCTCGCCCTCTCCGTTGGTCTTGGTCTCGTTTTCCTTCGCCTCGTTCTCAGCAAGGGCGGCCGAAAGCGCAGCTTTCGATGCCTGGAGAGCAGGACCGGGCAAGCTTGATACAGAGGTCATGATTGCGAATGCGGGTGGATTCCTTTGCGGTCTCGAAGGTATTTAGATCGATGATCCAATTGTGAGGAGTCGCGGGAAGAACTCGGGTGACTGGAGCACAAAAGAGCTGTTGGCAGGAAAAGAGCGGGTAGACAGGCCGATAAGTCTGCTTGTTGTTTGTGGTGCGCGACAGAGATTAGGAGCAGAACACTTTGAGTGAGAGGAGTGGTAATAACTTTGGCTGCTTGGTGAGAGTCTCTCCGCTTCATCAGTTCTACAAACTTCGGGCCCCCGGCCAGTCCCCGGCCCCATCCGGTCTGGCGCTTTCCATCTATGGTAGGTCACCGGCCGGCCTATCCGGACCGATGCTGGGGAATGGGCGCGAACAGTATCTTGGCTTCATACATTCGTGTGTCTGTATGGCGGCGATACCGAGTGCAGATGAGGGCCAGAGGCTACCCTTATGCAAGCTTAGGATGCTGTCGCAGGTTGTGCGATGACCGGTAAGTGATTGTCCGATAGCTGACCTTTGGACAAAATATTTGTTCCCTCCAAGTTCCCATGGCCAGATAGGGGATCATCGATGCCCATGTACATCGCCAAATGTCACCGGTGATCCTCTGGGCAAGCATTCCGCATGGTTCCAGAGTGCCATCAGGATGCATTCGAGTGGCTCGCCAGGGTCTGGCCGCTACATAATTAATTGTGGTATTCACAGCCCACTCGCACCTATATCAGGTGCGTTCCATCAGTTGTCTACGCTTCCCCCCAAAAAGCGTGAACTCACCACCGTCCGTAGAGTCTCTGCGAGATTGAGTCTTACGCAATTATGGAAGGCGTTACTTTTTTCACGCTTGTGTGCAAGTGGTCGCCTGGGTGTTCACGTCTGGAGCAATCATGTTCGAGTCCTCTGCAGGCTCACGGACTCGATTGTGTTCTTGTCTTCGCCGAACGTGCTGCCGACCCTCTGACAATATTCACCTGGAGAAATCAAGAAGCCAGGTTCGCCATACATCTACTCGACGAGCTGGAGGGATTGGTACTGCCGCGTGGAGTCGTCCTGTGATGTCCCAAGCACTTTTCTGGCCCCTAGGCGCAGGATGAGAAATACGCCCTCCATCCACGGACGAACTCTTCTGGTCTTGCGACTGCCGCTTCGGGCTCTCTGGTCGCTACCCATGCCACATAACCTCCGCTGGCAGCGCTAAAATGGACTGAATTCGCTTCACCTCCAGCACGCCTATCAAGCTTCCCTTTCCTTGGTCCGAACAGGAGGGATCAATGGGATATCATCATCTACGAGAGCAACTCCTCGGAGCCGGCAAATGTGCAACGCCTTCGGACGCACAAAGACCGTTTCGACCGCACCGGAGGGTTTGAGCACGTCACCATCCTCACAATGGCTT